ATTTTGAGAATAACCATAATTTTTATCCTTGTTCTCTAAGTAAAGAAAAAGCAGTTTATTCATACTGGAATACTACTTTTATTGAATTGAAAATGCAAGCATTAAACCACAAGTACAAATGACAAGAGTACATTAAACATAAATAATTCAATGGGATCCATAAACTTCATTCCATCTTTCATTAATAAAGTCTGTAGTATCCAGGTGTGTTATGTTTAACTGTCCTGATAAATTGGTCACTGGATCAGGTGTTTCCATTGGTTGAGCCTGGTCGAAGAAATTGATCTCGATACCCTTCTCCTTGAAGGAGGCTTGACATAGATCCACCAGATGCTTTGAGGTGTTACAAGTACGCGCCCAATGTCTGTTGCCACCACACCTATGGCAAACTCCTTCAGGATTTCTAGGAGTGTTCATATGAGTTTTTTCTTTCTGGCGATTTGCATTTTTAAAGCTCGGGCCTGGATTATGCCTTGGAACCTGGTTGTGAAATTGGACACCATGGTTTTTGCCTTTCCCGTTCCACCGGCCTCGCTTGTGGCCACGTCCTCGTTTGTAATTACTGCCACGGAAGGATATGGTACTCATTTCAAGGGAAGCAGCATTCACTTCTTGGAACAGTGCTGATCCAGTAGATCGAAAATTATGGTTTTTCATCAAGAGCTCATTGTTCTGTTCAGTTACCAGGAGCACAGATATCAGCTGGTTGTATTCAATGAAGCCTCGCGCTCTATATTGCTGTTGTAGGAGCATGTTAGAGGCATGAAATGTGCTGAAAGTCTTTTCCGATAACATCTCCTCAGTAATAGTATCCCTACAGAGCTTCATCTGAGAGGTAATTCTAAATAACGCCAATTGTACTCAGCCACTGACTTGAAATCCTGGATCCTTAGGTGAGTCCAGTCATAACGAGTTCTTGGAAGAATCACTGCTGTCTGTGATTGTATCTGTTTCTCATGGCCTTCCAGATGGCTAACGGATCTTCAACCGTTAAGTACTCACTCTTTAGTGCCTCATCAAGATGGCGTCGAATAAAAATCATGGCCTTTGCCCGATCTTGAGAGGATGAGCTGCTCTCTTCCCTGATGGTATCTCCAAGATTCGCTGCTTCCAAATGGATCTTGGTATCCAGTACCCAGGTAAGGTAATTATTTCCAGTAAAGTCCAGGGCAGTAAAATCAAGTTTTACCAAGTTCGCCATTTTCTTTTCTGATAGAAAAATGAGGTGTGTAAAAACTTACAATAATATGTGTTCTGGAGGAATATATTGTTAGAACTTCTGGTTCTTACAAATTTTTTATCTTTAGACAAAAATGTTAAGTACTCGAAACTTCAGGCTTGAGATTTACATGATTAATGAGAAGTGCAATTGTACCGCACCATTCTCATCGAAACAAGTATAGGATGTGCGATTATTCCGCACCACTTTAAACAACAGGAAAATTTAAATATGTAGAGTTAGGTGGACGATTATACCGCATCACCTAAAATTGCGATAAAATTAAATATATAAAGCAGAGTGGACGACTATACCGCACCACCTAAAATTGCGATAAAATTTAAATATGCAGAGCAGAGTGAGTGATTATTCCATACCACCTAAAATTGGGATAAAATTCGATAAAATTTAAATATGCAGAGCATAGTGGGTATTATTCCACATCACCTAAAATTGCGATAAAATTTAAATATGCAGAGCATAGTGGGTGATTATTCCACACCACCTAAAATTGCGATAAAATTAAATAGCAAGTAAAGTTAAATATGCAGGATAGGGTGGGCGATTATACCGCTCCACTTAAAATCTGCAGTAAAATTAGATCTGCAGTCCAACATAGGCAATGATACCGCACCATCTTGGATTGCATAAATAAACACTGGGTTAGTAGTCAAGAGTTACACCAAACAAAAAAATCAAAGATATAAGTAACTGTTAGGTTGAGAACTAGAAGTAAACATGGTCCAAACAGTTCTTCGCGAGGGTATATCTAGCAATTGAAGCAGAGGAAGAAGAAGAACAGTAAAAACCTTAGAGGAAACATTTTTTTTTCTTCTTTCGATGAAGGGAAATGAGAAATGATCAGAGAGTCGTGCTGATAACGTGTTATAAATAGGCAAAAGTAGAGAAATAACCTTTGATAAGAGCGAGGACGAAGTGGTGCAAAATATCATACTAACAAAAGTATTGCAGATATTAGAAAATGAGGGATACTGAGAATATTATATTTCTTCATTTTCTCTTCTTGATGTTCTTCACACTTTGAACAACCGAAGTGCTCTATTTATAGAGCCACCTCAACAAAAACTTACAAAATATTAGCATGTGAAACTTTATTATACACATGTGGACAAACATACCCACTTTTTACTACATTTAGTGATTTCAAAAGCTGGTTTGTTATTTTCAGTTATTCGCATGGCATCACATGTTTTGTTGGATCGGTTGTGTTGGCCTTATCAATTATTGGTTCTTTCTCGTGTCCTTTCAAAGACTTGGTAAAATCATGCAGGACCGGTTGCCGGTTAGTACGAACCGAACATGCATGAAATGTTTAATATTCATGTTAGTCTCTGTAATTGGTGGGCAGCTGAGAAATAAATTGTTCTTTTTTAGTTTTTTTTTTTTTTCTTTTCCTTAAGACTCTTGATTATGCAATTTGGAGGCTTTGCTTAACTATGAACTTATGTTGTGAAATGAATTTTATTTTACCTTTATGTTGATGGTTTGGATAAATTAAGTTAATACCATTGACATGGATAACCTAAATGCCCCTAAACAGGCCAACGAGAATGAGTTACATATACTCATCAAGACAACATTATTATGTGTTAAATCAATAATATAGTGTCATATATTTCAGTTTTTCCACACACGACATTGTATTTAGATGACAGGTTGGTGTCTTAACCTTATGCCCTATTTCTAACAAAAAACAAAAAAAAAAAAAAAAAAAATCAAACTCTGTAGAAGAAAGTTCATTAGATTTTCTTTTTGATATTTTCAAGTTAAACTAATATATAAATTGCAATGAGAGAATTCGCACCTAATTGCCTAAGAGGGAGTGCATCTGCTCCAACCAATGTGGTTACGCCCATGGTTGCGAAGTCCAACAAACTTTAGTAAACTCTTATTAATCTCATCGATTCCTTACAACTTAATTCCTTAAGCAATATTCTCTTCCAAATCTCTATTCATATTCTGTGTTTAAAATCAATATATCACATGAATTATCGTTTCCTAAGGACTTGTTTGGTATTTACGATTGAATTGGAATGAATAAGTCTTTAATTTCAAGGTATGTTAAGGCGAGGAATGAAAAATTATGACCAACTAGAGAGTAGAAAATGAATTACTCATGAAGAAGACTTATCCATTTCATCCTTAATCTTCTTCAAAATTGTAGAATTAGAAAGGATGAGTTATCTCCATATCTAATCTTCTTCTAATCCCCCAAATGAAAAATCAGTCAATTCTACATTCAATGTGCCTTAAAAGTAAGGAGTTATCCATTCTAATTCAATCTTGATTGCTATCTCCATCATCACCTATTTGTATTCCTCAGACTCCCAACCCAGCAGTTATTATATGAATTTTCATGTCCTTTCTCCTTTTGGGTTCTCCTTTCTAACGTTGACATCCGTACAACACATTAACGTGCCTTGAAGTCATTATCACTAATCTCAACTCACACTCATCATCCTTCCAACCAGTTTCTTGTACATAAAGTTACCCTTGACTCCTCTTAAAAAAAATTCTTTCTATTTTTCAATTTTTAATTTTTAATTTTTTTGCTAAATCGGCTTCCTTGCCAGTTTTGCGGGGTTGGGGAACCCAGAAATGTTTAAAAAATTAATGACTTATAGTTTGGCAATTTTGTTTGGCAAGTCAAACTAAAATTAATGGATGTTAATCCTAACATTATACTCTTGCTTGTTGGGCTGTCTAGTTTATTTTGATCATGTCATCTAATTAATTTTTAATAATCCAATGGAAGACTAAACAAATGGGACACTTAAAATTTAGGGTAAATTACATAGTAGCCCCTCAGGTTTGAGGTCTATTGCAATCTTATATAACATCTTTAAAACATTTCACTTTCATACCTCAAGTACTATTTTATTTCAATTTCATACAACCGTTACATTTTCCATCAATGGATCTGTTAAATGCTGACGTGGCTGCCACATATATGCCATGTGGCTGCCAAACGTCTGCCACATGGCAAATAAAATAATTTTTTTAATTTTTTTTTTAAAAACCTGAAATTGGAAGAAAAAAAAAAGGGACCGAACCCCTGCAACCCAGAAGAAGAAGGAGGAAGAAGAAGAAGAGAAGAAGAAAGAGGAGGAGGAGGAGGAAGAAGAAGAAGAAAAAAAGGGACCGAACCTAGAAGAGAAGAAGAAAGAGGAGGAAGAGAAGAAGAAAGAGGAGGAGGAGGAAGAAGAAGAAGAAGAAGAAAAAAAAGAAGGGACTGAACCAGAAGGAGGAAGAAGAAGAAGAAGAAAAAAAAAAAAAGAATGATCGAACCCCCTGCAACCCAGAAGAAGAAGGAGAAAGAAGAAGAAGAGAAGGAGGAGGAGGAGGAGGAGGAAGAAGGAGAAGAAGAAGAAGAAGGAAAAAAAAATGGCAGACAGGTTTTAAAAAAAAAAAAAAATTATTTTATTTGCCACGTGGCAGACATTTGGCAGCCACGTGGCATATATGTGGCAGCCACGTCAGCATTTAACAGATCCATGGATGGAAAATGTAACGGTTGTATGAAATTGAAATAAAATAGTACTTGAGGTATGAAAGTGAAATGTTTTAAAGATGTTGTATAAGATTGCAAATATACCTCAAACCTGAGGGGCTACTATGTAATTTACCCTAAAATTTAGGTTTTTGGGCAAACCAATGAAATTTGTTCTTTTGAGTTTAAGATACTTCAACTTGACGTAAAAACTTGTTTTGGAGTTGAGGGTTGCCTCTAAGACTGGATATTGAAAGTTTCACAAGTTTTTCCTACTCTTGTTGCTACCTCATTATTTGCACTTAAAAGTTTCCTTCCCATCGATCTTCTATATCTGCAAAACACATAAAACTTACTTGCAACCTTGTATATCAGAATCAGACAATGACTAATTGACAAGCTCTCTCTCTCTCTCTCTCTCCAGATTGTTTTGAAGGCTAAAGCAATGGAGGGAAAAGTATATAAGTTTCTCCATGGAACTATTGAAGCTACCATCTTCCATGCCACACCTTACTCACCACCACCAATATTCCCCTTCAATGTAAGAATTTTCACAAGCTAGCTATCGTTTTTTTTTTTTTTTTTTTTTTTTTTTTTTTTTATGTTTACAATTTTATCAGCAACTGTAGTTCATGAGTGTTGAACTCAGCACGCACCTCCTCCAGTAAAGAGGGGTACCGATAGAGAAAACCGTCATGTTCTACATATAGTTGTTTACCGTCTAGTTATTGATTCTAATAAGTTTCCAATGCATTATACATGCAAGAGTTTAACCATTCCTCTACAATTTGTTGTGTCAATCTCAAAGAGTTGAATTTTTGCTTTAACGGAAAATTGTGTGGAAATCTTGTTTTACAGTGTATTTTTGCAAACGGAAAGCCTGCATATGTGACCATCAAAATAGACAACAATAAAGTGGCAAAGACGACCCACGAACGCGACCGTGTGTGGAACCAAACCTTTCAAATCCTCTGTGCTCATCCGCCTGATTCGACCATCACCATTACCATGAAAACAAAATGCTCCATCTTGGGAAAATTTCAAATTCAGGCACATGAGATACTGAACGAAGCAAGTTTTATCAACGGTTTTCTCCCTCTTGTACTCGAAAATGGGAAGCCAAATCCAGAACTCAAGCTCCGGTTTATGTTATGGTTTAAGCCCGTGAAGTTCGAACCAACTTGGGGGACAATAACTGTTAATGGTGGATTCAAGGGGTTGAGGAATGCATCATTTCCACAACGATCCAACAGCCATGTCACCCTTTATCAAGATGCTCACCACTGCTCAACTTTCAACCCTACGCCGGAGTTTTGTGGGAGTCCGAGAAGACTATGGGAAGATGTATACAAAGCCATTGAGGGGGCAACACATTTGATTTACATTGCGGGCTGGTCTTTCAATCCTAAGATGGTTCTGGTAAATAGAATCCCAACACAATTTTCCAAGCTATAAATTATTACTGTTTCTTTTGTTTCAGAGCCTTATATTGTGCTCTTAATCAGGTCAGGGATCCTCAAACAGACATCCCGCGTGCGCGAGGGGTGAAGCTCGGTGAATTACTAAAGCAGAAGGCCGAGGAAGGTGTGGCAGTGAGAATAATGCTTTGGGATGATCAAACTTCATTAAAAATTATCAAGAACAAAGGAATAATGGGAACACATGATGAAGATGCATTTTGTTACTTTGCACACACGAAAGTGATATGCAAATTGTGCCCTAGATTTCACCGCAAGTTCCCCACAATCTTCTCTCACCATCAGAAAACCATAACTGTAGACATCAAATCCCTCACCAGTGCAAGTGACAAAGAAATCATGAGCTTTGTTGGGGGTCTAGATCTTTGTGATGGGCGCTACGACACGGAGCAACATTCGTTGTTTCAAACACTCAATACAGAATCACATTGTGCTGATTTCTACCAGACCAACATTTCCGGGGCTAGCCTTCAGAGAGGAGGGCCAAGAACGCCGTGGCATGATGCTCACGCTTGTATAACCGGCGAGGCTGCTTGGGATGTTCTAACAAATTTCGAGCAACGATGGTCCAAGAAATGTGATCCCTCTTTATTGGTCCCTTCTATCACCTTAACAAGCCTCATTCAACAGACTTATGCAAGTAAACCCTCTGAGAGGGGCTGGAATGTTCAAGTTCTTAGGTCAATTGACAATGTTTCGGCAAGCCAATTGTTTCGAAACCTAACCGTGGAACATAGCATTCATGAAGCCTACGTTGAAGCAATTAGGCGCGCCGATAAGTTTCTATACATCGAGAACCAGTATTTCATGGGAGGGTGTTATCTGTGGGAGAACGATCAGCATAGTGGATGTAGAAACTTGATCCCCGTTGAAATTGCACTAAAAGTGGTCAATAAGATCAAAGAAAAGGAGAGTTTGCAGTGTATATCGTGATTCCAATGTGGCCAGAAGGGTTACCTGAGAGTGAACCTGTGCAGGATATACTTCATTGGACTAGAAAGACAATGTCAATGATGTATAGATTGATTGGAGAAGCCATAAAAGAAAGTGGAGTTGAAGGGCATCACCCAAGAGACTATTTGAACTTCTATTGCCTTGCCAATAGAGAAGTTGAGACCCAAGGGGAGTTTGTTCCCCCTCATTCTCCTCATCATGCAACACAATATTGGAATGCACAAAAGCATAGGAGGTTCATGGTCTATGTTCACTCCAAGCTCATGATAGGTATGTAGATGAATTTCAATTTTTTTTAATAAATAAAGTTATATGTATTGTATTTACTAATTGGTTATCTCCCGCAAAGGTGAAATCCTACTTTAATAGGTGGATTTCACATAGTTTACGCTTTTGTGAGAAACGCAATCAGTAATGTGATCACTGAATATCGTACATGCACTGTTACTTATTACTTATTAATTGATTCCATTTTCTACTTTCTCGTCAAATTAAAGTTGAGTAATCCTATGTATGGTCTGACTTCTATTAGAGATGTTCTCTATAATGTGGTACAATCAATAATGCGATATAAGAAAATTAAATTGTTAAACTAATTTATCTTTGTTGTGGTGCCTACTATGAACTAGTGGACGATGCATACCTTATCCTAGGATCTGCAAACATAAACCAAAGATCCATGGACGGACATCGAGACACTGAGATCGCCATTGGATGCTACCAGTCCGACAACGGTGACAACAAGATGATGGTGAGCTCGGGAGGCAACATTGGAGCATACCGAATGTCATTATGGTACGAACACACAGGTCGTGTTGAAGAACTGTTCAAGCAGCCCGAAAGCTTAGAATGCGTGCAGAAGATGCGTTTTATCGGAGACCGGATGTGGGAAATTTACAGTGGGGAAGAAGTGGTCGACATGGAAGGTGCTCATCTTGTGACATATCCCATGAGTGTTTCAGAGGAAGGATATGTTGAGGACCTTGTGAAAGGCAGTGATGGTCATTTTCCAGATACAAAGGCTATGGTGAAGGGCAAGAGATCAAAAGTGATACCATCAATATTTACTACATAGTCGATTAATTAGCTTTTTTTAAAAAATATATATATATATATATTTATATATACAAATCTTTTATTTTTAATTCTTTTAAGAGCAATTTAGCGAAGTCATTGTTTGCAGAAAATGTAAAACTATTCAAAATTTTCATTTGGTTGTGTCGCGTGAATGGGGAGAGTATTAATTTGATGTCACGATTGTAAAGACTTTTTATACATGTCAATAATTGCACAAGGACAAACTACTTGTGTGGTGATGCTTTGCTTACCCCAATAAACGAAATACTATGTTTTTATACCTGAAGTGTGTGTGTGTGTGTATGTGTATGTGTGTATCCTTCCTTTAAGCTGCTCTTCTTTTTTTTCGTGTGTGTAAAATAACATGACTCAAAAAGACTTCATTTTGGTTAGGTAATTTAAATAATAATAATAATAACAAGGGAACTCTTTTTTGAAGCATTTTATCAAACAGTTAGAGGGTATGAAGGCAAACTCCAACTTTCAAAGGGGCATCATCCAAATTATCTATGAAGATTCACCGGAGTTTGAAGAGTCAGCTGACCCCAGGGCCGGCCCTGAGAATTTGGGGGCCCTAGGCGAGCCTTCGAAGTGGTTCTTTGTATATTGATTTGTATAAAAAAAGAATTCATTAAATACATAAAAAATTCTATTTTCACATCAAATATCATTAAAAATTAATATCTAAATAAGATAAATATACAAACATTATTTAAACATTACACAATTCACATTTTTAGAAACAAATGTACTAAATGTTTGCAGTCAAGAGTTTAAAATTGAGAGTGAAGAATAATAAAACTTGATGATCAAGAGAGTAAATAACAATAAAACTTTATTGACGAGTATAATTAATTCAACGCCAATTGTTTCTCTTGTGTTTTTTTTTCTTCTAAAATCAACATCACACTAACGAATTGAATAGTAAAATAATCCATTGAATAAAAAGTTATTGAAAAGAAAAATATATAATTCAAAGTTTTGATGACCTTAAAGTACAATCTTTAAGACCATATAATAGTTGGTTTAAACATTCAATAGAAATGAAGAGAATGAGAAGTTGGTTTAAATTACAGGATATAAATTTTTTTAAGGGGCCCTAGGCGGGCGCCTACTTGGGCTACCCTTAAGGTCGGCCCTGGCTGACCCTCATTGCCCCTTAGTGCTTCCGCCCCAGCTAAGCATTAGAACAATAAATTTTATCAAATTGAAGAAATTGTTCAAAATTTCTTACTTATAATAACGAAAACTATAACTAAACTATATTTCTGAGTTATTTCAAATTTTAATACAAGATTTGTCTTTCTAGTATTTTCAGTAAACTGATATTTATATTATACTTAGGATAATACTAAGGAGATCAAATTTCTAAATCAACTTTTATAAACCAAATAATGTGGATGTCGATGATTTGATTATTACGTAACTTTAATTAACGTGCTTATTTCATATTGATGACTTATCATTTGGTTTATAATTTGATGAAAATTTTTTATTTCTCTAACATTATCCTTATATTTAAATATAAAAGAATACGAATATTTTCCTTTCCTTCTGCATTTACCGACAAACTCCCTCTCCATCTCTCTCTGCAAACGCTAATGGCAAACATTGAGGCCCTATTTGGCACACCCTATAAAGCACCAGATAGTACTAATAATACGATGTACAGTGTTTAGTGGCCGTTTGGATTAAATAGGCACCGGATTAAATAATTTGGGCCCACCTTTTTTACACGTCGTTCACCCGCTTGCTTATACAGCCCAAATTCACCATATAACTTAGTCGGCCTCACTTCCTCTCCGCTCGCTCTCGCCCTCGCTTCCTCTTTGCTCGCTCTCGCTTCCTCTCCATGCGCTCTCTCTTCCTCTCCAGACGCACTCTTCCGCTCATCCCAGGTTCGTCATCTCTTCTTCTTCGTTTGAATCACAGTTCCTCTTTTCAATTTTCTTCTTCTAGGATTCCGCCCCTCCCTCTATTCTTCCCCCTGCTCCTATTTTTCTTGCAATTTTCTTTCAATTGATTGAATCTAGTTATTATTTTCTCTCTAATTATGCAATTGATTATGTAATTTTGTGTTTTAATTAGAATTTTTGAATTTTAGGGTTTGCTATTGGGGTTGAATTTAGGGTTTATTGTGGTTAAATTTAGGGTTTATTGCACTCGCCTTAAAATTGGATGGGGACAATCTGCATGATCCTCAACCTCTCCTAAACATTGCATAAGTTCTTGTTAACTTTGCTTCCAGACTCGGTTTAAGCAAATAAACTTTCCAATTATATTGGATCCGAACATAACGAGAGCGTAAAAGACACTGATTTCACAGATTGAAAGCTTTAAGGGAATGGAGTTGATTGATTTTAAATACCATACCACAAAGCATGTAAAAACGAATTGTTTGTACACTTCCTTTCAATTGCTGAGACATCCCCAAGATTAAAAGCATGACATGTGACATATTATCCTAATCAGAAAAATAAAGGTAATAAAAACATATAGCATTTCTCTTGATCTTGTCTAGTATAAAAATAGGCTCGAGAACGATTGGCTAGCTTTCTGAGTACTCTACCTAGAGTAAAAGCAGCTTTCACATGAGGTTCCCTGTAGTAGTAAAGTTTTTCATATTGGTAGAGAATGTGTACATAAAGGTTTAAGAGAGGTTGAAGATACTGCATATTGTCCCCATCCAATTTGGTGTTTGAGACTACATATATTTTATAATTACTATGACATTTTTTGGTAGGACTTATTAACATGCTTCATTCCGTTTTCAGTGTTATATGCATTCATGCTCTAGTTAATTTTTTGCCACTATCTAATAATGCTATTTTATATTTTCACTAGACATGGATGAAAGAAAGATTGTGGCAAGCTTCATTGTTAAGGTGTGGTACTTGAATATTGTGACTTGGTTGATGATGTGATTCATGATGAAACGTAATTCAGCAAGAAGGCGGAATCGGCAACTTGCACTTAGAAATCGCACATTTGTTAGGAGAATGGTAGGGACAGCCTATTTAGACAGCATAATAGGATATGATGATGTTCAATGTGTGAACCAAATTAGAAGGGATAGAAGAACGTTCCATTATTTATGTCAAATGCTTCGTGACCATGGTAAAGTAAAATTGGATGGTGTAGTGACAATGGAAGAACAAGTTTGCATGTTTTTGCATATATTTGCACATCATGTAAAGAAGCATACAATTGGGAGTAGGTTTTGTCGATTGGGGAAGACCATAAGTAGGTATTTCAATTCCATTCTACATGGAGTGTTAAGGCTACAAGGTACACTTTTGAAAGTGCCAGAACCCATTCCTAATGCCTACCCAGATCCTAAATGGAGTTGGTTTGAGGTATTCTTCATATTTTATAAAAATTACTTATAAAATTAATGTAACTAAATATATTGAGCTTACTAATGTTAATGATTTTTTTTTAGAATTGCTTGGGGGCATTGGATGGGACTTACATTAACGTTCATGTCCCTGAGCGAGATAAACCAAGATACCGATCAAGGAAGGGAGAGATTGTGACCAATATGTTGGGAGTTTGTAATATGGACATGAATTTTATATTTGTGTACCCAAGTTGGGAAGGGTTGGCCTCTGATTCTAGAGTACTCCGAGATGCGATAAGTAGACCATTGGGATTAAAAGTTCCCACGGGTAACAATAGATTATTTGTTTATATTAGTAATTTTTTTGAAGAGAATTTATATTAGTAATTTGAATCCTCATTTTTCTTATATACAGTAATATACATTTTTTGGTGTGTTAGGGTGCTACTACCTTGTGGATGGTGGGTACACAAATGGTCCAGGATACCTTGCACCGTATAGGGGAGTGCGTTACCATCTCTCAGAGTGGAGAAATAAAAGACTCCCGATTAATCATGAGGAATATTTCAATATGAAACATGCTCAAGCTGGAAATGTCATTGAGAGATGTTTTGGACTACTTAAGATGCGTTGGAGCATCTTAAGAGGTCCATCATTTTTCCCAATTAGAACACAACTTAGGATTATGACAGCCTGCTGCCTATTACATAATCTTATTAGAATGCATATGTTAGCTGATCCAATAGAAAATGAAATCCTAAACTTGGACGAATCTGAAAGTAATGATGATGATGAAGATATGATTGAGACTGTTCAACCTACACAAGAATGGACTGCATGGAGAAACACTTTGGCTATGAATATGTACAACGAGTGGCGTGCACAAGCATAATTTGATTAATTTTCTTACATATCCATGTTGTATTTTGGTTATGGTTTGTTATTTGAACAAATAGTGATTTCTTATGTATTCAGTTATGATACTTTATTCGAACAAAGTGTGAACTGGTTATGTATTTATTTAAAAAGTGTGATGATTTGCTTATGGTTTTTATCACTTACTATTAATTGTATGCACTATTCATTATATGCTATCTTATTGTGCATGTAATTATAGGAATGGAAAGTGATCAAAGTAGTCAACCAAAAGGGAGTAGAAGGGTTTGGAAACAATATGAAGAAGATGCATTGTTGTCTATACTTGAGGAAGCAGTTGTTAAGAATTTGCGATGTGATAACGGTTGTTTCAAACCTGGAACAATGGCTCAGTTTGAAGCAGCTATTAATTTGAAATGTCCTAATGCAAATATAAAGGCAGTACCACATATTGAGTCCAAAATGAGGAGGTGGAAAAAAGATTATGCAATAGTTTATGACATGGTTAATAAAACTGGTTTTGCATGGAATGATGTACGAAAGTGTATTGAGGTTGATAGCACTGAAGTATGGCAATCTTATGTGAAGGTAATTCTCTAACATAATATTAGAATTTAACTTTACATATTTGATTACTTAACATGTTCCTTTCCATAGAATTTAATAGTATGATTGTGTCCACCAAACTGATTGGGTACACAACAGTCTTGTTGATTAAATTGATTGGGTACACAACAGTCTTGTTGATTAAATTTAATATGATTGGGTACACAACAGTTTTGCTGATTAAATTGATGGATGCTTGATTATATCAAGATAGGTTGAAGGGAACAAAATAAGATTATGTATTTTATGGATAGTGTGATTTGTTTTCGCATTGTAGGTTAACCAAGAAGCAAAGGGTTGGCTAGGAAAATCATTTCCATTGTATGACAGATTGAATGTTATTTTTGGGAAAGATCGAGCAATTGGAGTAGGAGCTGCAACTCCTATTGAGATGATGAATGAGCCTGAGCACATTAATGAAGATGAAGATGAAGATGAGGTGGAGACTATATCTCCCT